ATTTTTATTTATTATAAAATAACATTATTTCAATTATAATTAACGTGTAAAAGTCATGTATACTTTTGTATTACTAAACACCGTCTATTAAGTGGAAATAGAGATGAGAATTTTGGAGTTTCGATGCATACTTCTGTATCCCTCAACATCGCCTATTAAGTGGAGATAGAGATGAGAATTTTGAAGTTTGGAGCTCAATCGACAATTGTATACTATAAAATAAAATGAGAGTAATTAAATCAAGAAGCAATTATGAATTATAAATTAATTAATAAAAAATATTTGATTTAAAATGAAATTACATATCAAAAGAAGAATTTTTAAGATTAAAAATGAAAATGAAGTAAAGGAAGACAAAGAAGTTGAAGAATAAGGTAATAATATATAAAATAATATGTAAATAAATAAATATAATAAAATAAATATAAAAATCTAATAATATATATATATATATATATATAGATATATATATATATATCTAAATATAGACTTGGGATCATATGAGACTAATAGTTTTTCGTGAGACCCATGAGACCCGTAAGACCAATTCTCAACCATTGGATTGGATCTACAATCGTCAGATCTGAACATTCATAAATGTCACGAGACTTCTCAATAATTACAAAATTGTCATCGTACAAATTTAGACCATTAGATCATATGTTTATAAAGTTGATCAATGAACATAAATTGGTCTTACGGGTCTCACGAAAAACTTTTGGTCTCACGTGAACCCAACCTTATATATATATATATATATATAAAGTAATTTGTAAATAATATAATAATAATGTAATAAACTGTAATATGTAAAACCAAAAGTATAAAATAACATAAAAATAATAAAATAATATATATTTTTCTAAAGTAGATATATAAAATCAAACAAAATTAATAAAATATAAATATATAATTAATTGAATTGATGTTTATTAAAAGACATGATCGGTTCAATTCCCAACTAATCAACACTCCTGGCACTCCCTTTGTTATATTAATACAAATAAACGTATATTAACTAAAATACATTAAAAAAAACGTTTTTTTTACAAATTAAATCATTATAATCGTTTTGCCAATACATTCAAAATTAGCTCAATATTGAATATTTTTTTTATTTAATATTATATTATAAAACTTAAAAGTTTTTTTAATACTTAAGTACATTTTATACTCTTTATGATAAAACCGAATAATATATAGAGCTAGTGTTTTATAGAACTTAAATTTATAGGATTAAAAGAGAAAGTTTCAACTTTAATTAAAAATGTTACAATAAATTTATTATACATTTTTGGATGTCATAACAAGTCATTTAGAATAAAATACCAAAGATTTATTTTTGATCTTAAATTCAAAATAATCACTACAACAAATTAAGCTTTATAAGATATCTAAATTGTTTAAACATCATAATAAAATACTCCATAGATATTAGATTAATAGGACCAAACAATAAAGCATCTTATTTGAAATAATTACAATAGGTTATATGAGGTTTTTAGGTGTTTTAACAAATTTTTAGAACATTTTTAAAATAAAGTGTCATATTAGCTATTTTAAAAGGCATTTTTGAGAAATATCTTATAAACTCATTTTTTTATAGAATATTTTTATCAAATATTGTAGTATAAAAATTATTATACGACACTTACATTTAAAAATGTTCTAAAAATCTTGTCAAAGCGCTTAAAGGTGTCTTATAAACCTATCATAACACTTTTAGATATGACATTTTTTGGTTTAATCATATAAACTTAAGTCCTATAAAGTATTTTTTTTAGATAACTTCAACATTTTAGACGTCCTATAAAATGAATTTTTATTGTAGTGTAATCAAGGTTCTTATTAACGTCAGGCGTGACAGCGAGGTCAAGCCTTACGAGGCCACGACATTTTTCAAGGCGTAGCCTAAAGCGACATACACACACACACACACACACACACACACACACATATATATATATATATATGCTCATTCAAATGAGAACTAATTAGTTTGTGGTAACCATAAGATCCAATGTGAACCACTCATTTGAGATATTTAAGGATATTTCTTAAATAAGCTAAAAAAGTAATATAGTAATTTCTATTTTTGACAACTAATCAAAATGTTTAATTAATTTTTTAGAGAAAATATTTAATTAAAATTAGTTACCTATTATATCAATTACCTAATATAATCGTATTTTAAAAATGTTTGTGAATCAAAGTGTATTATGGTGATAACGTTCACAATGTTTCACGTGTATCACAATGTATTTCTTTATTTTATGAAATGTATCATAGTGTGTGGATTTTCGTTGTTTTACAAATGGTATCACATTGTGCATCTTGTATGTATATCTGGGTATCATAGTGATATATCGTTTGTAGATATCATAATGTGTATCTTGTGTTCGCATAAGGTTCATCGGAATAAGGTTCACCGAATAAGATCCGCCAGAGAGAAGAAAGATGAGAGATGAGAGAGGATATTTATAAAAATCCCTAAAATACCTTCAATTAATATTTTAAGTTAAAATTACCAAAATGGTTAATTTCTTAATTTAAAAGCGCAGGTGAATCATAATTCTGAAACATTAGTTTAGCCTTGAATCATGAGTTTGTGTGGTTACTTTACAAGTCAACTAATATATAAAGTTGAATGTTAATATGGTATATTAGCAAGATCGATGAAAAAATAATTGCACACATGTTGAGTTTCTAAACCCATATAAAGTTGAAGGGTTGGGATGGGGTACATACGTACAGGATCAGAAACCCTTTAAGATATTGTTGCTTTAAATTTCAGTTTACTTCAAGAGAAAAAAGAACTTTGAATTTAAATTTTGGTTCAAAATAGGAAACAAACAAAGTGTCAAACTACTTTGGGAAGACCAAACATATCTTTTTATGTAAATATGGCTTACTTAAATCTGAAACTTTGACCAAACAAATGGTATATTTTAAGCATTTTTACATTATGTATAATAGTTTGTATTTAAAAGATTTTTAAATCTTTTGCATAGATTGATAGTACTTTATGTTTTAAGACTTGTAATTAAAACTTTTGGTTTAAATGCTTATTAATGTAGTATAGATTTTATGTAAAAAAATAGGTTTAAATTGCAAAAATGGAACCTGAGGTATAGGTAGGACGACAAAGAGATCAAATAAGAACCGGTTCTTGGCCACCGTCATGAGCCACGCCACCACCCTCCGCTGTACACTGGTTCCGTAATAATGGCTCAATTGGTGGTGGTTTGGTGGTGGGGTTGATCTCCGACTCCACCACCACCTTCTCATCTTGAACTGCAACAACATGTGGGTTGCATCCGTCATGCAGCGGAGCACCGTCACCGTGATGGCAAACCAGCCATCGACGAACACGCACATGCACGACTCGCTTATGGAGAGTGTGTAGAAGAAGAATGGGTCCAAGAACAGACCCATGGCGCACACCAGCAACAAAACCTGGTTCCATTCTTGAAGCCATGGGTGGAATCTAGGGTTCAGTCGACCAACTCTCCCACGTGGACTGCACGTGTCTTGAACCTCCTCTTCTTCTTTATTACCAAGCTCATAATCTTTGTTCTTTTTATCAGTTGTTTCAGTGTAAGCATCTGAAATCTCATGCCTGCTAGCCATTATATGCTTACTGTGTATTTGTTACGACTGTGTGTCTGTGCGTAATACATACATATATATATATATATATATATAGAGAGAGAGAGAGAGAGAGAGAGAAGGAATATAGGTACAGATTTTGTTTGGAGGGTAGAAGTTAGAGAAGAGAGTAGAAGACATAAAAGAAAGCTATTGCAGTGAAGAGTTCAGTCATACACGTCAGAAATGTACTAGTTTCATTACCCTTTTGGTGTATATATATATACATACATATATATATATATATATATATATATGTAGGGGAATAAAAACCATTTAATTTGTAAAAACCGTGAAAACCTTATTCAACCAATCATAATTTTTCATTTTTTTTTTTTTTGTAATTATGAGAGGTTGAATAACCATTTTTATTGTGGAGGGTGTTAATCATGGATATTATCATCTTCATTATTTTAATTTTAGAGAAATACATGAAACAGTTTCATTAAAATTTCATTAAATATTATATGAAACAATTTCATAACCATATATGAAACAAATTCAGAAACAATTTCACAAGATTAAACAATTTCATGAAAAAATTTCATAAGATTAGACAATGAAATCGACGTATGAGGGTGGTTTGTACGGTTTTTACAAATGAGGGTGATTTTCATTTGATCGCTCTTCGTGTATGTTGTGTAACTGTGTATGTATGCAATATCTCACACCAAGTAAAAACTCCTCCATGTTTAAATTCATCATCTTTTTGAGCAAAAAAGTCAGGTATGTGTAATCCAACGAGTTTCACACGTCTCCTAGCCTTCAAGGAATCCGGTGTGGGTGGGTTATTTAAGCATTCTAATAAAATACTTTATAGAATTGAACTTCGGTTTATAGGATCAAATTATATCGGTTGTACTACTAACTAGGAGGATAACAACACATTTACAAAGATCCTTAATGATTTAGGGATTCTATTGGCATGAGGAGTTCATGTAAATTGTTTACATGATACGGGTCTTGAAAAAAGTGTGCTTTCATTTATTCTACATGCAATTATTAACGTGTATTTCCGGTTTCCCGTTAAGTATTTTATCTGGGTTATAGTTATTAACTATATAAATTTTGTCCAAATTGGAACACTAATTATTAGACGTTACAACTTTTGTGGAGAAGACTTGTCTGACCATGAGTGTGTTGGATATTCAAGACTTGTGAGGTCAAAGGCCTTTGAGGTCAACTTATGAATTCAATTGGGCTTAGGTTGGGCTGGGCTGGGCTAAACCTCTAGGCCGACAAGTTCTAAATTTGTGGATTCTCTCTCTCTCTTACGGTCTTACCTACCATTCTACCAAACACTACAACAAAATATATATAGAGGGAGAGAGTGTTGTATATTATACAGAAATATAAGCGAATGATCGTGTGAAAAGTGTAAAAATAGATTTGAACCCTTAATTTTTTTTTAATCTCGTGTCCACCCATGAATTGAGCTTTAGAATTGAATTAATCTGGGGCATCTTGATGCACCTCATTTAGTATTGACATTCAATTAGGCTTGATCTAAGGGTGGAGATCTCTTTTTACGCTTCTCACTATAACTTATCTTCTCATTGGAACCCAACACTATATATATATATATATATATATATATATATATATATATAGAGAGAGAGAGAGAGAGAGAGAGATCCTAATATACAGTTTTATAGGATTTTACTTTTTAGAACCAAAATATAATGCTAATATATAAAAAGAGTTATTGAACTTATAACCTTTTTGGACATTCTAACAAATATTTTAAGACATTTTTTAAATAAACCATCCTGTCAGTTAAGGGTGAGCAAAACCAAACTAAGCCCAAATATCTATATATATAGATTAAGAAGGTTTTTGATTGATAGGATTTTTAATAGATGGAAGGAGCGTATATTTTAATTGGGAGAGGCATAATTGGAAAAATAATCTTGATCAATGTAAAACTCCCTCCTAAAAATCTACCGAATAAATCACTATCAAACAATTATATATAATTAATTGAATAAATTATTAATCTCATATATTTTATATTTAATTTCCCATGGAGAAGAAGTGTATTTATTACAAGTGTAACAGATAATGGATAGGGTTTTGTATGATATTGGAAATCTTTTGAAACCTTCTCATTGGTTGTTCCCAAATTTCCAATATCAACCACACACTTGGCCCTCCTCCACCCCTACACATACCTCATACCTCCCTTCAACCTTCTCCATCATCTCCAACCACAGCTTCATATACACACACAAAAATGGCATCAATGGCTGCACCCACTGCTAGCTCCACCACCGTGGTTCGAGCCACCCCATTCTTGGGTCAAACCAGATCAACTCTGATCAACCCCCTAAGAGATGCTGTCTCCATCCCAAATGCCAAGTTCACCATGGTAAATCACTCAATCTACTTCTCTTTAATTCAAAAGCTACCTCCATTAACCACTTGGGTTGTGGTGCAATGGTTAAGTCTTAGAGGATGTATAGTGGAAAATCCCATCTACTACGGGTTCGAATCCAGACGCCGTCAAAACCTTTGTGACCATGGAGGTTATTAATGATTCTGCATATATAGATATTGAAACCCTCTAAACTGTATGTTTTAATTGGTTCACAGGGAAATGATTTGTGGTATGGACCTGATCGCGTTAAGTATTTGGGACCGTTTTCAGCTCAGACCCCGTCTTACTTGACCGGCGAGTTCCCCGGTGACTACGGTTGGGACACTGCTGGCTTGTCGGCTGATCCAGAGGCGTTCGCCAAGAACAGGGCTCTTGAGGTAATTAACCGACCTTTTCGACCATTCATACAATAGAATCGGCTTTCTAAAACACTAAATATGTCTAAAGGTTTTAATAAACTATTTTACATGACTAAACAATTGTGTGTTTTATGTAAAGGTGTTACAATATGATCTTATAACGTACTAACGTCATACAAAACGACTAGCAAGACGTTCTATTTTAAAAAGTTGTTAAAACGCCCAAAAATGTTCTATCAGTCAATTTTATTGTAGTAAACCTACCTTTTGGACGTTGTACCCTACTCGATATGAACCACAAGGCTAACAGTTAACTAACCTGACCATGTTTAGGTCATCCATGGACGATGGGCCATGCTTGGTGCACTCGGGTGCATCACCCCCGAGGTCCTCGAAAAGTGGCTCAAAGTGGATTTCAAGGAGCCCGTTTGGTTCAAAGCCGGAGCCCAGATCTTCTCGGAAGGCGGTCTGGACTACCTAGGGAACCCGAACCTAGTCCATGCTCAAAGCATTCTAGCCGTGCTCGGATTCCAGGTGATCTTGATGGGTCTCGTTGAAGGGTTCCGAATCAACGGTCTAGACGGGGTTGGAGACGGAAACAACCTGTATCCAGGCGGGCAATACTTCGACCCGTTGGGGCTAGCTGATGACCCAGTGACATTTGCTGAGTTGAAGGTGAAAGAGATAAAGAATGGAAGACTTGCAATGTTCTCAATGTTTGGGTTCTTTGTGCAAGCCATAGTTACAGGGAAAGGTCCATTGGAGAACTTGTTGGACCATTTGGACAACCCTGTGGCTAACAATGCATGGGTCTATGCCACTAAGTTTGTGCCTGGTTCATAAGGCTATGTGACATGGTTGGGGGAGAATGTGTAGATTATTTACTATAGTTTAATTTTATATAAATATTTAATTTGGTGTTTATAATGTGATTTAAAGTCGTAAAACTCGAAACGAAATCGTCCGGAAAACAACCCAAAGTCGATTTAAGCGGAAACGGATTATTTACCGAGAACTTCGACGAATAAATAATCAAAGAATTGGAAAAACCCAACACACATATTTACGTGGAAACCCCAAAACATAAAAAGAACCACGAAGAAGGAGACTGCTGAGAAGTCCACTATCAATCCTCATTCAAGTGAGTGCTTTTGATCGGGTATTTTGGTAGGGAAAATTGTATGAAAAAGTAACGTACTTTAACTTGATTCCTATTTTTGGTAACGTACTTTAAAAACTTTCATTTTGGTATCTGAGATGTAAAGTTTTAAACATTTAAGTACTTGGGCAACCGATTGAAAACTAATTTTAGATTAAAAAGAACTCATGTCATTAACCACGTCAGCAAATAATACTAAGTTGGATATCACATGATTTGTCACATCAGCATGATAACCGGTTAATGGTTCAACCGGTTACCCGGACACTTAAATGTTTAAAACTTTACATCTTAAGTACCAAAATTAAAGTTTTGAAAGTACGTTACCCAATATAAGAATCAAGTTAAAGTACGTTACTTTATCATGCAAATTGCCCTTTTTGGTACGTGGGAGAAAACAGAAAAAATATTTTTGTCTCATATTTAGTATGACGTTAGATTGGGATTGGACGGACAAGATTAGTAAAATACTAAACTATTGATGTCAAATGCGGTGACTTTGAGCTACCCGCAAAGCAGACGGTCACTCTAGATTAGTCGGCTAACATAGCGGGTTGGATATCCAGGTTAATCAAAAAAATTCAAACCTTAACACCTTCCATAATAGTTTCAGCTGTTCAATCATATCTTATCCTGTTCAGTCTTCTCCACATTCCAAATGGATACAAAGAGTATAATCAACACTGAAGTTTGTTAATTGCATAAAAAATGTGCAAATTTCATGTCTATGAAATAACTTGGATACCGAGTTATTTACGTGGAACTGATAGAAAAAAACAAATAAGAACACAAATTATGTAACTCGATCAATTAAACCTTTTGAAACTACAGGGTCGTTTACTATCGGGTAAACGTTTGTCGGTAAGAGTAATCACCTTCATTTACTTAATTGGGAAACATTATGGGCCCATAAAAATTTGATTGTTAATATCCGGTAAACGTTAATCAGATTAAAGTTTTGGGCAAATTGCATGAAAAAGTAACGTACTTTAACTTTATTTTGGGTAACGTACTTTCAGAACTTCCGTTTTGGTACCTAAGATGTAAAATTTTAAACATTTAAGTACCCGGGTAACTGGTTGAAATATTAACCGGTTATCATACTGATGTGGTGAGTGATGTGGTATCCAACTCGGTATTATTTGTTAACCTAGTCAGTGACGTGGATTTTTTTTTTAATCTAAAAATTAGGTGGCGTTTGTTTTTTAAGAGGTGCTGAAGTATGAAGTCTGAATTCACTTATGATTTTTAAGAGGTGGTGCTGAAGTTTGAAATCTGAATCAGTCAGACTGTTTGTTTTTACGTCTGAAATCTGAATCAGTCAGATTGTTTTTACGTCTGAAGTCTGAAATCTAAAATCTGAATCAATAAGACTGTTTGTTTTTGTAAACTGACAAACTTCCGAAGTCTGAAATCTGAATCAATTCATTTCAATTAAATTTAACTGAAATATCCAATCATTTAAATCATTTGCAAACTACCATGTATTTTTAACACATTCAAAAATTTAATTGAAATACGTCAATTGATTCAACACACAATAGAAATCTTAAACTAGCCATATATGTTTGGTCAGCGGCACTCCCATGCGATTGAATCTCTTCAGCCTCATCCTCGTCATCATTTCCTTGTTCGTTGGTTTGATCATACTCGGAAAATAACTCATCACTTAAACCTTCTTTCCGTATGAAGTTGTGAACCGCAAAACATTCTTGTCCACCCCAAAACATTCTTGGGATGCGGCTCTGAAATTGATTTCAGATATAGGATTCCCACTTAATTTTAAGAGGTAAAAAAGCTCTTAATTTAAAAAAAAAAAAACAGTCTGAAATCACTTATATTTAACCGATTAAGAGTTAAGAGGTAATTAAGTGAAAATTTTAAAAAACAAACAGGCCCTTAGTCTTTTTTTTGAGTCTAAAATTAGTCTTCACTGGATTATCCGGGTACTTAAATGTTTAAAACTTTACATCTTAGGTACCAAAATGGAAGTTTTGAAAGTACGTTACCCAAAATAGGAATCAAGTTAAAGTACGTTATTTTTTCATACAATTTGCCCTAAAGTTTTCTCCCTTATTTATTATGTAAATTTTTTGATCCTTCGCATACTCACTCTGTTAATTAAGTGGCACCCGATAAAGACTCGCCTAACCCATTTAAATAAATGGGTTGGGTTGAATTTTTCGACATGTTTTCAACCCATTTTAAAATATTATATAATTTTATTTTATTTTTAATATTATATATACTATTCTAATTTTTTATTTTGTTTTATTCTTAATTAAAAATCTTATCGTCGTGAGATCAAACTCCAAATTCCAATCACCTCCATTACTCTTAATCATCATGAAACCCTAAGAAAACCCTTTAGTCCATTACTTCATTATCGCCTCCAAAGTCCAATCCAACTTATTTTAAGCAATATATTTGTTGTGTTTGTGTTTTATTCAAACTTTGAACAACTTGTTTGTATTTATGGTTGTGTTTTATTCAAAAAAATATATTCTAGTCCTTTTTTTATTTAAAATTTTAAAATTACATGATTCAACTCATTTATTTAACAGGTTGGGTTAAAAAAATCATAAACAAATCAATCTACTGTCAACCCATTTAAATAATAGGTTAGATTGAATTGAAAAATCTCAATTCATTTAATTAAATAAATTGGATTGACTTAAGATATTCAACCTATTTAATAAATTAAATAGGTTAAACCCAAACCCAATAGGATCCATTGCTATCCTTAGTTGTCATGCACAGTGAAACCTTTAAAAAAAATAGAAAGTCAAATGTCACAACATGACCACGTAACCGCCTTTCGCCACACAATCCTTAACCTCTGGAGCCGCAAAATGCTATCAACCGACTGTCGCCTTTTTCATCCACATGTTAACGAGGCAAAAGAGACGGCTGTCTGCTGCCTTTTTATGCCATCGATTTATTTTTCTTCGGATTTAAATAATTCATAAATCTATAAAATCATATAGAGTTTAGAGTAAGTTAAGGATCCGTTTGTCAAACGCTTATTTAAAATCGTTTATCAAACTGTATTGTTTCGTTAGATGAATATAATAAGGACCAAGAATCTTAACCAGTAAGTAAGGACGACGACTCTTACTAACGGTAAGCGATTACCGGGTAAATTGTTGTATGCAATGTCTTTTTGATGAACTAAAATCTTATCTAGCATATAAATAATAATTTTAAATTTTATTGATAAACACTTATCGGATAAGTATTTAGTAAACAGCCTCTAAGTTTTCTGTCTTAATGGCTTATCAAAAAATAAATTACTGTGTCATTAAATATAAATTAGATTATAATAAAAATCAAATTAAAAAAATTACAGGAAAAAAAATCATTAAATAGTTAATTTGATATTAATATCGATTTATTTTTTTTAAATTTATATATTATCTTTAAATTTATATTTTATTTAATAAAAAACTCTTAAAATTATACTATTTCAATATTAATAAAATAAAAACCAAATATTAAAATAAAAATTCATCTCGTTACATTGTTACTTCTAATATATCTAAATATACAATGATTTATCCTAATAATAAAATTGTACATGTCTACGATTATTGTAGGACAAAAACATAGACCAAAACAAAAAACTAAATTCTGATTGGTCGATAAACCGATGAACAGATCAAGCGTACGGCGGTTATACGGTCGCCGATCTAATGGGCCCCACGATTAATCATCTCCATATACTGATTCAAAGATTCTTGTCTCTGTAATCTCATATCCTCGTTGAATTTCTTTATGAATGCTTCAACTCGCCGGTTCAAGTCTTCCTGACCCAACGACGGTACTTTTTTCAGCCTCCCTGAACCACCGGAGCGGCTCAGTTTTGATGGCGGAGGTGGTGGTTTCCGGCAGCTACCTCCGCCGTGATTGACGTCGAACGTATCGGATTTTGTCATCCTTTCGACGGCTTCAGTGGAGTTGTTGTGGTGACGGCCGTGTGTCTCCCACGTGTCAGATTTACGGAGGTGTCTCGTTAACGGCACTGACCGACCTTCAGTTATTGTCTTCCACGTGGTATCCAGCGTGTCTTGCCGCTTTGGCTTCGCGACTCCCAACGTTCTTCCACCTGCACCAGTTTGCTTGTAAGTTGTAAACCAGATGCGATAATTCCTACGGGTTTTTAGGAATAAAAAAGCATATAAACCAGATGCTGACGTCATTTTCATGGTGTGTTTTTGGTTTTCGATGACGGTTTTTAGTCTCATCTTTTCAAAGTCAGTGTAGGAATCGATCTTCAGGATTAAGCTGCCAACAGTTTGTCTTTTTATTCAATACAGAAACCCGCCGATTAACATACAAAGTTGCCGTTTTTAACGGGAACCAGTGACTACTCCGGCGATTAATCCAGCGTGTTGCCGGTGACACTAACGAACTGAATATCCCTATGTGCAAAGTGTGAGAACTGAAAGAGAAAGAGATAGATAGCGTTTGTTTACCTTCCGGGGTGGCTTTGGTAGGTTTCCGGCGGCTGAATCTAGTGGAAGCCGGTGGTTTCTCCATCGGAACGGAGAGATCTACTTGACTTATTTTCGACGGTGTCCAAGAAGACATGGAGATCACAGATTTATTCGCCATATTTTTCGTGATTTCTTCGTAAGCTTCCGTCGCTGTCTTCATATCTTCTTCCCTGAAATCATACGTACTCAAATCACGTTCCGGAACTTGAACAACTTTCCGATCACTGGAATAACCGGCGACGTTCTCCTTCACCGGCTGTTCATTCCCTAATCCAACGCCGTCAAACGGTACAACTTCCGGTACTTGAGGTTGATGAAACCGTGGTACTTCCACCTTGACTGCAGGCTCAAACGGCGGTGTCGGAAAAGTTGACGGCGGTGGAAAATCGTCGAGCTTGGATTGCAACCGTGAAGAAGCAACGATGGTGATGATTATACAGTTGATGACAACATAAAGATAAGGTGGTTTGAGCCAAGATATGAGAGAGGACCATATGCCACGGACGTCTTGGAGTGAAGCATCCATAATCAAGGGTATTAAAAGGTTGATCATGACGGCGGTGGACAAGACGGTGGCGGAAACTACGGCAAGTTTGAGAGATGAACCCATGATCATTTCCGGTGGTGGTGGTGGTGGTGGTGGCGTGGAGAGATGATTATGTGGATATTAATAGTGGAAGTTGTAGATCTGTGCCGATAGACGGGGGTAAGGTTAATTAATGGGGGATGGTGTGGGCTTCCGCGATATGGGTTGCTTGCTATTTAACTATACCAGTATGGGTCCTATGGGTCCCACGCCTAGATATCGTTCACACCAACGTATTCGTTCTTTGTGTTTGTTACAATACGACATCGTTTTATGCATGTGCGAGACCGAAAGAAAATGGTTATTTGTTTTAAATTTGTTTTAAACTTTGGAGCTGATTCACGGTTGCTGAATAGTTTGGTGCAAAATAATTAAGTGGTTAGAATAATTAAGAGACTCTTATAATATAAAATAAAATATAATTGTTTGATAATTATCCATAATGAAATTAGAGTGCTGAATGATTAAGGGATACATAAGATACAAAACCATTCAGAGGGTTTTAAAACCATTAAAAGACAGATTCTTTTTTGCCAAACAATAATCATCTCTTAACGATTCAGAAGCTGGCTCTTAATAGAACTATTAAGAGGTAAACAAACAAACCCTTAATAGTTTTATTAAGATTCATCTTCTGAATCGCTAAGAAATGAATCTTGTTTAAAAAAAAGTTTTGTTTTTTAATGATTCTAAAATCATTTGAATAATTTTATATCTCAGACCTCCTTTCACCGTTCAGCACCTTAATTTCATTCTAAATAATTACCAAACAATTATATTTCATTTTCCTCTATATTATAAAAGTCTCTTAATTATTCTGTACCAAACCATTCAGCAACTTTCAAATAGTCCCTACCTATACGGATGATGTTGGAATAAAAATTTGGTTTCTCAAAAATTCATCGGTTTCATTTTTATCCAACCAATAAATTGATGATAAATTAGATTTATATATATTTTAAATTTATTTTATTTAAATTTTTCTTTGTATATATATGATATTCATTTAATTGATGAACATAAATAAAATAAGAGAGGTGATTTTTATAACTTTATTCGATTAATCCAACCGTTTAAGTAAATAATCGAATAATCCAAAACCGCTTTGTTCAGATGAGTTATTCGGGTTCGAAATATTCTAAAGCCCCTTAATGTGGCTTCACACATAAACGGTTCTGAACCTACCACTAGAGATGGTGAAATGGGTCCGGTCCTGTCCTGGACCGGTTTGGAACCGTCGGTTAAGGACCGGTTATGGTTTTCATCCAAAAACAAGACCCGGCCTCAGCCCAGCTCGATTTTTTTTTCCTTCAAAACAAATGTATTTCTAGTTTTCTAAGTGTATTTCATAGAAAATCAAATTATAAATTTACAATAAAACATATTTTTTATTAAAACTATAATAAAACTTAAATTTTAAGGGTGCGTTTGGTTTGCAGGAATGTTTCTGAGGGAATTGGATTCCCAGGAGGGATTTGGATTGGATTGGATTTAAAATTCATTCTTGTGTTTGGTTTGCAGGATTTGGACATAATATGAATATAGTGTATACCATGAACTTCAACTATATATCAACCAGAATTATAAAACAGCATATAGAAGTTGAATAGAAATAGCAAAATTCCTATGATCATGCATCTGAAGAATCAGTTTAAGCAAGCATATAGCAATGATTTACCTGTTGAGAGTGATGCGAGAAGGGAGCACCGGCGAGACGACCCTAGGGCACAGCTTCGTAAGGGACGGGAAGGAAGCACCGGCGATGGAAGGGAAGCGACGGGAAGGAAGCGGGAGGAAGCACCGGTGATGGAAGGGAAGCGATGGAAGGGAAGCGACGGAAAGGAAGCAGGAGGAAGCACCGGCGATGGAAGGGAAGCGACGGGAAGGAAGCGGGAGGAAGCACCGGCGATGGAAGGGAGGCGATGGAAGGGATTGGATTTGAAATCCCGCATACAAAGGATTTCAATCAAATCCCTGGATTCCAAATCCCTTCAATTTGGCAAACCAAACACAGGATTGGAATGGATTTCAAATCCAAATCCCCCCAAATCCATTTCAATCCCGCAAACCAAAGGCATCCTAAGTGTATTTGATTGTAAATCAATTATAAAACTATAATAAAACGTATTTTTTAAGTTTAATTGATTGACCTAATTAGATATTTTAAAGTGTATTATAACAACATTAAATTATTTTAAAATTTTACCAAAAAGAAATTTAAAAAGAAATATAAAAAGAAAACGGTTTTTTAATATTTGACCGGTTACCATAACCGGTTACAAGTATCCTTAACCGGACCTTAGTATTTTCGACGAGATCAGGACTGGGACCGGTCCAAATTGTTACTATTTGAGCCCGTGATCAATTTGGGTTTGGCCCGAGACTGGTTTTTGGCCATCTCTATCTGCCACTATTTATTAAGTTATTTTCACACAAATGGGTTTTTAAACCTTATTATGATCCATTTAGTTTGCAGGATTGTTTTTTAAGGATATGAATTTTATGGAACGGTTTGAATTTGGATTGGAATGGATTTTAATTTATTGATGTGTTTGTTTTGAAGGATTTGGAATAAAATTAAATTCTATTATTTATAAATACTTTATATAAAAACTATAAATAATTATAAAAATAATTAAAATAATATTTAAGTGTTATTTCATGCACTTTTCTTGAAAGGAAAATTTCTTATTATAATACATTTATTTATTTTTATATCACATACACTTAGATACCACGAACGTTCCATGAATGATTTTTTATAAAATAATTTATTATAAAACAATTTATTATAATATCTTTTATATAATTTAAATAAAAAACAAGATTCTGGTAGATAGGTTGGCCTGTCGCATTTATTACAAATATCTCTTAACATTTTTAAGATATTTTATTTAATAAAAAAAATATAATTTAAATAAGTGTTATTTCATGCACTATGTATGTATGTATGTATGTGTGTGTGTATGTATGTATGTATGTATGTATGTGTGTGTGTGTATGTATGTATGTATGTATGTATGTATGTATGTATGTATGTATGTATGTATGTATGTATGTATGTATGTATGTATGTATGTATGTATGTATGNGTATGTATGTATGTATGTATGTATGTATGTATGTATGTATGTATGTATGTATGTATGTATGTATGTATGTATGTATGTATGTATGTATGTATGTGTGTGTTATAGTGTGTGTAAAATCAGAAGAAGATGATTAACCGTTTAAAATACATCGATATTGATTTCATGTACTGGGTTTTTCGAGTTTCTTATTGTATTTCTAACCTACTGGTATAACATTCGCACAGTAGGGGTCCGTTTATTGCAAAAGGTTCATTGAATTATTATGGTGGTTGGTACTCGAGAATTTGTATTTATATTTTGTTCAGGTTTTATGTTGGTCGGGATTATACGAATTCATTGTCTTAAAAAATCAGAAAAGTCGACAATAACAGTCAAAATATTATATTTTGTCTTTGTATGAGTAGGCATATTTATAATTAATTAATTAAATTTTTTTATTGCTTGAAATATGCGTAATAAAAAAAAATGGTATATATTTAAATAAGTACATGACGTAGAAGGTAGTGATTATTATACTTAATTTGATAATTAATTAATTAAATCCAGATGATTAATTAGAATATGAACAGATCAGTATTTGATTTGTTCCTTTGATGCGTGTCGAATCTATCAGTCCTTACTTTCAGTCTCGGATTCTAGGACTGGCTTGGGTCCAACGGTTTTAACAGTTCATAAAGTTCGTGACTTGAAACTTAATTTCGACGAATCTGGAGTTCGAAGGTAGCGTTTTTAAACGATGATATTTGATTTTTAATGGATTAACTATATACAAGTGTGGCACAGTGAGAAAGAAAATAACTGATAAAAAAAATTCCGATGTTTCAAACCAACCCAATTCTCCTAAATGGCCAATGACTCACATGCCGCTATGTCAAAGACCTTTTGATAGTATTTTTTTTCTTACACTTTATAACAAGTAACGAGAAAGAAAATGTTATGATCAAGCGCTTACCCACTACACCAAAAGCAATTGTCTTGGTGAAGGTGCAACCTTATTTCCCTTATAGCGTAGCAGCCAGCGCCACGTTTCGATTTAGGAAGATGCTAGAACCGTGACCAACAACCCCCCCCCCCCAGCATCTGCTGGTACTAATAAGAGCTTCGTTAGAAGTCAATGGCCTCGCAGCATGCCTTTCTCATAATTATGCACTCCTTCCATATTATGCACACCATGGGATTCGAACCCGTGACCTGCTCTGATACCAATTGTTAGGATCAAGCGCTTACCCACTACACTAAAAACAATTGCCTTGGTGAAGGCGCAACCTTATTTCCCTTATAGCGTAGCAGCCAGCGCCACGTTTCGATTTAGGAAGATGCTGGAACCGTGACCAACAAAAAATAATTAAATATGTAAAGTGTGTGTGATCGAGACGTTTTGAAACCAAAATCTTGGACTTATTCTATAAGTAATGAAGTTCACTCTATATGTTTTTTTGTTTTATTTACGTGCGACATGTTTCAGCCAGAAAGTCTCAACAAACTGTAATTCTTAACTCGTTACAAGTTTATATTTAATAGGCAGTGACAGACCTAGGGTTTTGCTGAGCGGTTGCATTTTTAAGGTGGATCAAATGCTAACAAAGTCACTAAATTTATTTTAGTCAAATTCCACCGTTTTGAGAGATTTTTCAAAATTTTGGTTGATTTCGAAAGATTTTTTTAATGTTTTTTGTTGATTTCAAAAAAGGGATTCAGTTTTTGTGTTGAATTCAATAGATCTTTTCGGTTTTTTTGAGATACTTTTTTCAGTTTTTGGTTGATTTTTTTTATGTATTTTGTAATATCTCGAAACACTCCTCAGGGTTTAGCTAGTGTACCTTACACCAAAAGGTAAGTCAAATCATTCGCCACATCAGCATGGTAACCGGTTGATGTTTCAACCAGTTATTCAAGTACTTACATTTTTTAAATTTTACATCTTAGGTACCAAAATGGAAGTTTTGAAAATACATTACCCAAAATAAGAATTAAGTTAAAGTACGTTATTTTTTCATGCAATTTGTCCCTTATAAAAAAAGTTTTTTTAAAGTTCAATACAAATA